CTCCCTCCAGAGCCCATACCCCCTCCTGCACCCCAACCTCCTGCCTCAACCCTGAGCTCCCTTCTGCATCCAAACTCCTCCAGAGCCCATACCCCCTTCTGCACCCCAAACCCCTGCCCCAGCCCTGAGCTCCCTCCTGCATCCAAACTCCCTCCTGAAGCCCACACCACCTCCTGCACCCCAGCTCCCTGCCCCAGCCCTGAGCCCCTCCGACACTCCAGACCCCTCAACCCCATCTCCCAGCCCAGAGCCCACACCCCAACCCCTTGCCCCAGCCTGGTGAAAGTGAGTGACGGTGGGGGAGAGCGAGCGATGGAGGGAGGGGGATGGAGTGAGTGGGGGGGGTGGGGCCTCAGAGAAGGGGCAGGGCAGGGGCAGGCAAGGGTGTTTGGGATTGTGTGATTAGACAGTTGGCCCCTTGTGCTGTATAGAAATATTTGTCAGTGATGTTTCCATTGCCTGGAGTAGCAAACAATCTATATCGGCAGCAAAATTCGTGTGCTCAAGTGTGTGGGATAAAAGCCAGCTGCTTACATACACATTGCTTGTGACAGGCGCCCGCCTGACAACTCCAGAGACTGGAACCCTGGGTTCATCCAGTGACGGGTACAGCAGCAAGATCAGCTTCCCACAGGGGCCAGCCCACGTGCTTTAACTATGAACTACAGGGAACCTGCCTGCTGCAGGGGACTCTCCATCATCTATTCCAGTGGTTCTCCACCAGGGGGACGCGTACCCCGGGGGACGCAGAGATCTTCCAGGGGGTACGTCAGCTCATCTAGACATTTGCCTGGTTTTACAGCAGGTTACACAGAAAGCACTAGTGAAGTCAGTACAAACTAAAACTTCATACAGACAAAGACTTATTTATACTGCTTGGTATATTCTACACTGAAATGTAAGTACAATATTTATAGTCCAATTGATTTATTTTATAATTGTATGGTAAAAATGAGAAAGTCAGCAATGTGTCAGTAACTGAGGCTGTGACACTTCCATATTTGTATGTCTGATTTTGTGAGCAAGTCGTTTTCAAGTGAGGTGAAACTTGGGGGTACGCCAGACAAATCAGACTCCTGCAAGGGGGACAGTCGTGTGGAAAGTTTCAGAGCCACTGTTCCGCCTACAGCGGCTCCGCTGCGATGGGCCAGTTGTGATGGTAGGCTTGGGGAGGAGAACTCCACCCCCATCCTTTGGGAACTGCACTGAGATCCCCAGAACCCATAACAGCGAGGCCAGCAAACCGCCCCAGATGACAGCAACCTTCAGTCACCACCAACTTGGTCTGGATTTAACTAGCAACCTAGAGCTAGAACATGTCTACAGCCCATTACCCATCCCTGCGCCTCCCGGTCCCCTGCAGAAAGCTCTCCTGGAATGCAGCTGTTAAAGGCAGGTTACACATGGAAGAGATTTTAGCTCAGTTCCCTAGACAGAGCCCGTCATTCAGTCCTGTGTCATTATGGTCCAGGTGCAAACACAAGAAAGTCAGTGTCCTACCTGAGCTGAAATCCCACCAGGTGTTTTCCTGTCCGGTTCCCTGATGAAGCTATAACTGCTGTGAGTTCCCAGATCTCTCTTCTCTGTCAGGGTTAGGAGATCCTGTTTCCTCTCCTGCCTCTTGCAGTGTCTGACTGTCCTAAGGGCTACAGTGAGTGCACGGGTAGAACAAAGGGACCGAGAGGGAGGGCTGTTGGGGGCTGGGGGAGGGGAAGGCTGGGAGATAAGGGAAGGTAGATCTATGGAAGGGATATTCCCAGAGT